GAAAATGAACAACAATTAAATAACAATATAGCACTGGCAAAAAGGGTCATCAATGAATTTTGGGAATTAAATAAGGAAATAAATAAGGAAACATGGGCACATTACTTAAACATCAATAGCTATAGGTTGTATAGGCTACTAAATGGTAACAGTGATGAAAATAATGTTAGTAATAATAATATTAGTATTAATAATAGCACTAATAGGGAGTTGGTTAATAATAGAACACGGGAGCCTAGCATTAGGAATAATAATATGACTGAAGCAGCTGGACTGTGGTGGTCGGACAGTGATAATGAAAATGATAATTTAGGAAATATAACGCCGAATAATACAATTAGTAATATGGACGAGTTGGACGATTTTAGCGATAGCGATAGTAATATTGACATTTATAGGAATATACGTAGTAGTAATTATGAAAACGATGTTATGGATTTACTTAATGTAGAAAATAATTTAACTATGGAAAGTATTTTTAATGAAGTAGAAGATAGATATTATATAAATAGGAATAATAATGAAAATCGGTAATAAAAAAAAAAAAAAAAAATGAATGATACTATTTAATTTTGATAGTTGGCGGTATAGGAACGGTGGGAGTTGCCACCATATTCTGAACGAACAAGCAACCACCGGAACTCACTGACAACGAATTATAAATTAATTAGTTCAATTTCAAACGCGATAAGTACGCGTATTTTGTCCTAGCCGGCGAGATGATACGAAAATAATATATATATTAGAAATTATTTCAACAAGTTAAAACGAGTTTGAACTAAAATGTATACATATATATTGTTTTAGGTTGTCTCTGGTTACGGCAGGGCAAGGTCAAAATCCATATAGGGTGGAAGAATTTCGAAATCAAACATTGATGTATTATGAAAACTACGGGACGGTTGGTTGACAGGAGCGACCTGGCAACTGATAACGTATTTACCGTTAAAAAATTATGACCTTAGGCATGACAAATTGCAATCGGAAATAAGTATAATAACTAGTCTTTGTAAAAATAGCGCAACAACATCTAGGCTAGACAATATCTTTAAAGTAATGTTTCAGGAAATTTCTTTACAACGAGAAAAAATGTACGAATCAATAGGTAGGTACACCGAACAATCGGAAGCAACCACATACCCAAGTAGGAAGAGACGGGGTCTAATAAATTTCGTAGGTTCGGCTATGAAAACATTATTCGGGGTATGCGATGAAGAATGTGCAAAAGAATCGGTAGAAGAAATAGGTAAAATAGAACGAACTAACGAACGCATGTTACACATACTTAAGGACCAAACTACGGTAGTTAAATCTACTGTAAAGGGGATTAGTACTACATCTGAAGAAATAAATAAATTATACAATGAATTGGTAAATAAAAAAGATATAATAAACGAAGTAATTAATAAAACAAACACATTAGAGTCATTAGTTTTATCAAACAAAATACATGGTATATTCACAGCGTTATTATCACAATACTCAATGGAAACGCAATCGATAAGTGCTATTATAACCGCGGCTAGGACCGGAGTAATACACCCAAGTTTAATGACACCGCGTGAAATGGCAGAACATTTAACACAAATTAAGTTAACTTTACCAATTAATTTAAATTTACCTATGGGCACAAATCCGAATGAAATTTACGAATTAAGTAAAATTACGAAAATGGCAGTGTTCTATAAAGACAGTCAAATCGTTTTCGTAATAAAGCTTCCGCTGGTTACCGAATTAGAACTCACGTTGTTCAGAATACTTCCAATACCACAACCGGTTGAAACAATGATTAATGGAATAAAGAATAAAAATCATAGTATTGTTTTAAAACCAGAATTCCAATACGTAGCGATTACAAAGAATAGGGAACAATATACCACGTTCACAGAGACTCAACTTTTACATTGTACGGAAACAGAAATATTCACAATATGTCCAGAATTTTCGCCGGTAGTTCACTCGAACAACAAAAATCCGTGTGAGATAGCTTTATTCAAAAATCCGGATGTCTTGCCAGAAACATGCGAGACGGGAGTTTTAGTATTATCAAAAGATATATTTTATAAGTTAAAACATGCGAACACTTGGATATACACAACAAAGGGAGAAACATTAACTATAGCGTGTAGGGAAAACTCAGAACCATACATTACGAAAATACGAAAGCAAGGATTAATTTGGTTGAGCTCAAAATGTAGAGCGTACGGGAACGATATTATCTTAAATCCAACACAAGAAATAAAATCAAAACATTATGCTAACTTTATACCCGAAGTGGGACAGGGAAAAATATCATTTAAAGTAGCTGATAGAATCAAAAGTATGAATCTACCTAAATTAATGATTAAACCAGATTCACATAAACTCGAAAAAATACACGAAATAGCACAATCGTTAGACCATGTTCAACAACAAATTGATAATGAAATATTAACACAATCAGGACAGCTAGAAGCGAGTGATACGCGTAATTATTTATTTTATTTAACATTGGGCTTGATAGTATTCTCGGTAATGTTAATCATTTTTATATATATAACGTATAAATGCAGGCTCACTTCATTGAGGCGACCACAATATGAAATGGTACGAGTAGGTAAAAGTAAACTCTGCGCGGATAATATCCAAATTGAACAAAAATTAAAAAAAGTAAACGAACGAAAACCACTTGAAGGGGAGGATGTACCACCCCAAATAAAATAAACTATATAGGATTATTTTATTATTTGGAATATACTATAAGTATAATTAATTAATTAGAAAATATAGAAAAAAAAAAATATTTACATAAGTAGTTGGAAATAGTAATTAGAAATAGATCCACGTTGTGAAATATAATTTTAACGAATTTTAATTTTTATTATGGCAACTAACAAATAGCTTAATTAACACATTAAAGTAAATAAAAGAACAGGAAGTAACGATAGATACTAGTAAATAATTAAAATAGAGCTAAAATAGTAATTTAAAATAAATTAATTTCAGAATAGGAACGAAAAAAAAATACGATTAGAAATCGAGCGGTACATAATAGGGACATATTTAATCTATTATTGTTGGAAATAGATAAATGTTGCGCTATTATATACCGAACGGTTTGACAACTTAAGGAAAATGTTGGAGTTTGATCGTTTGGTGGTTGGTTCAAAAATCGTGTGTATAACGGATTTTTTAACGGAAACACCAACGGATCGAATGGCCAATAAATCTCAATAAGAAGTTACAAGGACAAGGTCTTGTTAATTTAGCCTATGTCGTGGAAGGATGCTTTGATTTTCAGCACACTCTAACGTCACGGGTTCGATTAGCAAGATCAAAACACATACGAAAATAGAATAGAATAAAATCAATTTAATACTTGTCTCGATCATGTAATGGAACTTAAATACAATAGTTAATTGCTTGGTCTGGAACTGTAGTAAAAAGATATAATCAAATCACAGTATAGGAATAGTAATATTAACTAGATATAAAATATAATAATATAACGATTAATGGAAAATATATATATAGGAACAAACGTAAGCGTAGAAAAAAAAAAATGATGAAAAAAAAAATGAAAAAAAAAAGGAAAATTTAGGATTAAATTTTTATAGAATAATATACAAATACATAAAGGAACATATTAGCATATTATATTGGACTTAATTAACATGGTGATGGGAAAAGAAATATATTAATCTAATTTATTTAAAATATAATTAACATAGTAATGGAAAAAATATATAACACACCAGTACACCACTATTTTATCATATATATATATTGCACGGAAAAAAAAATATATTGTAATAGATTTTAAGAATTCATATTATATTAAAGGATTAATTTATACTATATTAACACTAAGATAAGATTATTGTTGTAAAACAAAAACGAAAAAAAATATATTGTTAATCACATAAGATACTAAACCTAGATAATAAGTAAAATATATATTGTAATATTGTGGATTGTAATCTGTAATTTTCAATAATATTTAATAAATATAACCAGAAAAGTATGGTGGAATGTACCATATAATTCAATAATGTAACTAAATATCTATAACAAACATATTATGTAAACATGTAATAATTGAATGTAATGAAATAATTTATATATGTAACTTGTAACCACATGGAAGTGCTTGAACTAATGGAGGGATGATTGAGTTAATTTTTCTCATTTTAGACGATAAAAATGAACTTTTAAAGGGGGAGATGTAGTAAGCCAGTTACTACGGAGTAATACCAATTTCATAAGTACATAGTTATTATTATAATATACGATGAATCGGGATTAAGAATTAGGCGTAGTAACATTTGACAGTAACAATAAAACCAGATTCCACAGGTGCATAAATATTATAATAAACGGTAGACCGGCATAGTCGGGTATTAAGAAGGAAATGGGTCCTTCAAACCTATGGAGACAGGCTCACTGAATAACTCATGATGAGAGGGTTGAAATAGTCATTCGTCATTTTTGACAGAAATACTGGACGCATACGATGAATTTAAAATATTGAAGAGTAAAATGACTAATCACAAGTTAGTAATACATTCAATCAGATAAATATTCAATCGTCAATGCGTGGGCTAGAATGATGACTATACGAGTGACATCCGTGAGAACGGAGATATCGCATATGTAGGCAAGGGGTACGGGGAACCTCATATATAAGGGAGCCCGAATCGGCCTGTATTCAGACGTGTACTACCATCCACTAGTGCAAGCACCTTCACGCCACTCTGTTGAATATTATTTGGACTTAGAAAAATTATCGAACATTATAATAAAAATTCACAATACATTACATCTGTCTTATCATTCATTGTCTACCACGACTACAACATCAAATAAAGTGTCTGCGACCTGCAATCATAATAACTTGGTTGCCACTTATCTACTATTAGTACTACGATAGTAGGTACCAAGCATCCAAGCTTATTACAGTATTGTAAGCCTAAAATAAAATAATTTATTACATTTATAATTTAAATGTATGCAAAAGTATACTATACCTTCCAGCAATCTGATATTATTGTTGTTCCGGGTTTTATCCACTCTTTTATAATGGCGAGAAGGGTTGTGGCATTACGATTCTCAACTGGGACCATGAAACACTTGCCAGTTTCCCTCTCATATCCTCCAAACACCCACTGGCCTTCAACTCTATGGCCCCTGTGGTGTTTGCGACGTCCGAATTTGGATTCATCAATTTCGACGATGTGACCATATCCACCCAATTTCGTCTTATTGATCACCATCATATCATATGTCACTTCTCGACAAAAAGACGACCAGTCCGTTAATGTCTTATCCGTAAGCCTCAATTGTAGTCTCATTACTGGAAATTTGCAGTTTATTGTCCACAAATTAACAAATCCACATATTGACAGTAATGAGAGATGCGACTTATAAAAAAATGTTTTGTGTCGCAGTGAAAGGCTACATATATAATAATATTTTTAATTTTTAGTTTTAATTTTTTTAATTTTTGTTTAATTTTTTTAATTGTATTTAATTTAAGAAAGTTCTTACCTGTAGTTGCATGACTTTTTTCCCTTCTTACCACCAATTTTTTCACGGCAAATCCACTTAAAATTATCTAATGTAGACAGATCTTTCACCAATTTCATAAAATGTCCACGTACACATTTTTGTTCGGTTGGTAAAATACCAAAATTTTGTAATTTTGTGATTAGACCTAAGCCGTCGTTTAGGTCTGACCACTCTTTAAGGTCAAATAAATTAACTCGATTTTCAGCTGCCATTGTTCACGTTACTTATAATGTTTTCACGGAGGTAGAGAAAAACGAAATGATCGATAATATTTCCTACGTGGTAACGAAAACTTGTAGATATTGACATTTTATGTAATCGAAAACTTATAATAGGATGATTGTACCTACTTAATCTACAATTTTATGGTATTTTAATGGAACAAAATAAAACTTATAGGTATTAGGATGATTGTACTTAATCTACAATTTTATGGTATTTTAATGGAAAATAAAACTAATAAAATGTGTTATTTTAGATTCTGAGCGAAGTAATGAATGTATTGATATTACAATGATGTGTGTTTGTTTCTTTTGTGTCAGTCATAACCTTTTAGGACAGTAAAAGTGCTCGGATTTTATAGCGCTCGGTGACTCGGTGCAACAAAAATTCAATTTTTTTTTAACCCTGTGACCCACTTGGGGAGGTGTTGCATAGCAAATCGAGGGATATTTTCGTTTTGCGGAGCGGAGCGACGGCGCCGAGGAGCGTAGCGACGAGTGCCGATACACCCCCAAATCACTGTTCATTTCAGCGATTTTCCATTGTCCCTGTTACCTAGATTTTTATGGTATTTTAATAGAACAATAAATCTAATAAAATGTTTTATTTTTATAATTATTTCCGTTTTCGTTGTTTCCTTATACGAACGAACGGGGGTTTTCGCTCGTTGGTTTTTCTCAAAAATGAGAAAAAAAAGTGCAAAAAAAAAGGCCACCGGGCTGGTATTGATCTCTCGACCTTGTAGCGCGGAAACCCGGAATGTTTCCACCGCACCACAACCCACTGATAACGACATTGTCCATATTACTTATTTAAGATAATTGTAAAAAAAGTGCTTAACTTCATACGCCTGTAATTTAAAAACTAAGTCCGAGCCCCAAATTCTGATTTCACCAACGTTTTTTTCATTGAAAAAACGACTAAGTCCAAAAAAAAAATGACCAAAAAAAGGGGTGTCCGGTAAAGTATAAAAGTTCCCTCACTCGGTATACACACGCACAAAAATTGCGTTCTGGGTTTCTACTGCACCCAAAACACATAAAAAGTATTATTTTACTTTAACACTTTAACAGGTAAAAAAAACTAAACTTGCTCCGGATTTACTACCCGAAACGTGCACAAATGTTGTACTTCACTTGTACAAAAAAAAAAAAATGGTGTGTCAAGGGAATCTCTCCCAGATTACACGTAAAAACTGTTGTACTTCTCGTACGTAAACACTTTCAAAAAAAATTAAAACTTGCCAAGGTTGAGGTACCAGGGCACAAAAAATCAAAAAAAAATGTCTCCGACCGTGGATAAGTAACCCCGTTGGGCGCCACTCTGTCGTATCACCCGTATTGGATAATACGGGGTAAACCTACTATACGCCTCACCCTCGTATTCTCTAGCTAATGACACTCTCTAAAATTAATTAGAATGACACTGTTAACTTGGAGGTACAATGGTGTGCGTTTGTCAATCCTAAGGTCTTTCCAATCTAGTAAAATGACTCAAAGATTACACGGAGTTGCCCGATTGCGGCCCGAATTCAGGTAGTCGTATTTTATCCCAAATATAAGTATCCCGATTGCGTCCAAGGACACATTGGTTCACAAAATACCTTATAATTAATATATATATAATAATAAAGTATTTCAAAATTATTATGAAACAAGTATAAAGTATAAAAATAAATAAATAATATAAAATAAATACTTTCTGAATTAATTTCTGTATACAATTTTAAAAGTATATATATATATACAAATAGTCAAATATTAAAATAATAAATTGTTTACAATAAAAAAAAGACATGAAATATAATTAATTTGTCAATAAATAGGTACCTAGTCGAATATTAAAATAATAAATTGTTTACAATAAAAAAATATGTGAAATACAAATAATATGTCAATGAATAGTAAAATAATTATTGTGTTAGAGGTAGATTTTTAAAACTTATTATTTTTACAAAATCAAAATTAGATATTTCCAAGTTTTTTAATTTTGTAATTTGGGTTAGTATGAATTTTTTTTTATTAATTTGTTTAGTTGTTTCCCGAGGAGTACAAGCAATAGATTGCATTTTTATTTTAGCATCTGTTTGGCATTGTTTCAAAATTTCCAAAAATTGAAATATACTTGGATGTGAAGTATAAAATTGTGAATTGAATTTCGAATGAAAACTTTCACAAGCATTTGTTGTCAAATACATACTGGAACTACAAGTAGCCCATATTTCAGGGGGAAAATCAGAATCATCATCAATATAAGTTTCTACTAAATAATCACAAAATGTTTGTATTTTAGCTGTTGATGGTTGTATAGAAGCTAAATCTATGGCAAAACATTCACCTACCATTTCAGGTTCTAAAAATGGTAATCCAAATATATATGTTAAAAACTTTCCTATATCCTTGTCTTTATAATCCGTACTTAACCCTAAAGATTGTATTTTTCGCCACCACGATTGACCTAGATGGAACCTGCAACCTTTTATAGTAGCCAATGGCCAAGTTAAACGAATTGCCTTGTGTATAGATGTATTTCAAAATCTACGAATATTACATCGGGCTTAAAATTAAAATTAAATGTATTACATTGTTCTATTAGTCCATTAAATGCATTTTGATAGCTTTCAAATTTTTTGTCTGATAATAAAAAATATGCAATAGGATAATAATGACCATTATTCAATGCATGGACAATAAATAATTGACAAAAATATTAAGTACAGCATCGGAATGTCCCATCGACATAAATTTGAGAAATTGATGATAAATTTCGTAAGTTACTTTCACAAGAAAATAGAAGAAAATTCTTAATATTATCGTTGATAAGTAAAAATTGTTCACCTTCGTTTGTTTTGATATCAATGGACTTTAAAACGTCATGTACTTCTTGTATATTGGTTGGTTTAGCTGGAAGGATTTTTCTACGGGCCTCATAAATTCCTTTTCGAAAGCAATTCACATCTGTAGTGGTAATATTCTCAACTCCTATAAAAGAAAAATGTTGTAACTAATAATACGTATGTACCTATTATAAATTATAAATTATTAATTATTGACTTACCACTTTCTTTTAAACCACCATGGATTAATTTTGACGGTCGCTCACAAATATTTTCAGTTGCCTTTCTTTTAATACCATTACGTATTTTTTGACGTTTCAAAATCTGTTCAGTATTGGCTTCATGATTGTGATCATCAACGTCAAATTTACTTTGGTTTATTAAAATTTCTTTGTTGTAGCGCTTGACAAAACTTTTACAACTTTTATTTGTACAACACCATTTTTCTATTTCATTTGCTAATAACTTATGAAATCGAAATTTATATTTAAATATTACTAATATTGGTTTATCTTTTTCGCTAAGCATTTCGTACATTTCCATAATTTAAACTTTATAAAACGAAGAACCAAACGACACTATAACAGCACAATATAAAACTGTGTTCCACTAGCAACCTTGCAATCTTACAGTTTATCTGTATTTTTTTTTATCTTTAATGGACTGGAAATTACCACGCCGAATATTGGTGATCGTATGAATAGTGAATACGATAGTTATATTTATGTCAATATACGTATAGGACACAATCGGGATATTTATTTAGTTTTGATAACCACTTAAATATTATTTCCTACCTATTATGGACGGGCCGCAATCGGGATAGGTGAAAAGGTAAAAAGGTTACTTTGGGCCGCAATCGGGCGACGCCCAGATTACATATACCTTGGCAGTATTCAGTTTAATAAAACCTCATTGACACATAGTAAGACGTATATCCCGGCGCTGCTCCTATTAAAGGTAAGAACTTAAGAATGACTTAAATAATTGTAACTCGGGTTTTCAAGTCGGAAACACTTTTATTATATTTAAATAACAAACACAAAATAAAATATACTTGGCGAATTCAGAACACCTAGCCCGTACTACGATCGACGTTTCACACGTACGACCACAGTACCTACGTCCTCGCCGATTCACTCAGCGACAACGGGACTCTTCGTGCCTGCGCGTGCGGCGGTGTTATATAGTAATCTTATCGCTGTCTCAGCACATATGCTTCACTGACCTAAGTCAATAGTTTACAATTTAAAATGTTCCCACCTCTATTACATATATGAAATAATATTTTGACGACTGTCTACAATATACAACACCCCTTCCCAAAAATTGAAATTACGCCACTATATTATACAAACCTTTCTACATGCAAAATATTAATTATACAAAGTCACACTTTTTTTTTTACAAGTATTTAAAGTTCGAATTTTGGCAACATAGAAAATACATAAAAATGAAGAAAATGTGCAAATTATTTTATGTTAGAAATTCATAACAATTTTTCTTTTTAAATCTAAGATTTGGAAATTTTAATCGTAAGTTTTTTTAATTTTATGAAAAAAATATCTACCGGACATTCAAATTGAATTTTTATGAGTGTTTGAAGTTCAAATTTTTACAACATAGGATAATATTGATATTATTCAC